TGCAAGGGGCTCGGCAGGCCGGCAGCTGTCAGGCTGTCGGCCCCCGGCTCTCCTCCGGGAGAAAACATCCATCACATCCTTCTAACCCGCCTGTGGTTTCCCAAGGAATCGGGTCTTTTGTGTATCCTGTGCATCTAAAGCAGCCCCTGATGAAAGCCTGGTCGAGACTCATCCCTACAAGTGTTTAGAAGACAGCAGAAAATAAAACAATGAAGGGAAGAGTCCAGTTTGTGACAGTCTATTTTAAAATAATCACTAGGATCGTCCCACTGTCTAAACTGTAAGTTGAGCTGAGCTAAAGGGTGTAGAAACCAGAGCCCATCTACCTGCAAAACGCTGTCTTCGTGACACGGTGTGTGGGCACCGCGGGGAGACACAACCCCATGGCTCCCACGCAGGATCAGGCCAGGACGGCAGAAGACCCGACTTACCGCAGCCTTCACCTTGGTGGAACACCTGCATTTGTATCTTTATGCTTAGTTGTGTCGTTTTACCTTCCAGACCTTTTACCTTGAGAGTTGCCTGCGTTGAATTGCTGGAGCAATTAACACGTCTCAGTTCAAGCCCCAGCAGCAACGCTTTCAGACTCGGCACAAAGTAGGTGCTGTTTTCTGTTACTTTAAAACATTTTGCTAGAAAGAAATCCTGTGAAAGGAGTTTTCCTTCCAGACCCAATAAACCCAGGTGACACCCAGGCGATACCCTGAGGCACCCCGGGACAAAGTGTGAAGTTTGAAGGAGACACCAGGGACTTTCATGCTTAGAACAAAAGTCATCCTTCACGCTTTCTAAATGCTTTGCTGTTTTCATCACACCACACGTTGCTGTTCTGTGGTTTATCCTACCCCAGCTGTGGTCTCCGCTGCTCACGGGTGCTGCGCTCTGAAGCGTTTGTGCTGCCACCATTAACTCCTTGAAGTTCGTCAAGTCCAGCAAAGCGGCCCGCAGAGATCAGCAGTTTGGCTCAGCTTACGAGACCACGGCACAGGTTTTCTCCTCCAACAAGCTCTCCGCTTTGCCTGGTCACAGCACATCCGCTCAGATCACACTCCAGGCCATTACGTATTTGCACATTATAGGTTTTAAATATGGCATTGTAGGTTGGATTTTTTTTTTTCACTGACACATTTAAAATAAAAGAATTTCTTAAAACACAGGACTGCAGTCATTCTGAAGTCATCCAGGCTTTTGACATTAAGCGTCTCCATGTCCTCCTGCAGCTTTTACCCCCACAGCAACCAGGACACCTTCAAATCAGAACTGCTTGTATTTGTTTTTTCCAGCTTTTTTGATCACTAGATTTCCAAGGAAAAGCTTCCTGGACATGTAGAGAAAGGAGCTATGAAAACATAACCAGGCTGCAGCTTCTCCCTTTGTACATAAGAGCAGCTCCCTGCGTTCCAGAAACAGCCACCCCTGAACTGGATCTGACACCCACGTTTCAGGAGCTCCGTTACAGCATACACCCGAAACTGCTGAAGGGCTGATGAATCTTTAATTGCTGCATAAATTCAAATGACTCAAGGGGCCAGAAAACCCACCCAACAGCAAGCTTTAGCATTTGCTGAGGGTTCAGCTACAGCACTTGAGAAGCATATGAACTGAGCAAGGGTCCTCTGTCTGCTGTGAGGGCACTGCACCAACACCACCAGTGAGGCCCCCCACCAGCCCAGCAGCACCGACTGCCCGGTGAAGCCAGGACAAGCACAGGCAGAGCCCCGAGCCAGTCCCCACCAGGGACACACCAGGAGGTGAGTGATGGCACAGCACCAACTCATCTGGTGCAGGATTTAGCTCAGTGGCACTGAAGAGCTTTATCTGCACAGATCTGGATTATCCCAACTTGTTCTTTACAGGTCGTACGGCACTAGAAGCACCTTCTGCCACTCTCTTTAATTAACCATCAGTGCTACTAGGGTCAAATCCTGCTAGCCCGCCCTTCCAATCTGGATAGTATAAGCTCACTTCAGGTCCCACTGAGGTCAGTGATTGGCTGAAACCTCAATTCTAACTCCTACCACATCCCCTTCCAAAGAGAAGTCACATAGTCATTTTTGTCAGGGACATTTTTGGTTTTTTACTCTTCAGTCTCCCCCTTTCCCCCCTCCCCGGTGTCGCATGGTTATGAGCTCCTACACGCAGCAACCTTCACTTCCCCACAAAACACAAGTGGAGACTTCCCTTCAGCCAGTGTTTGTACAGCACGAGTACTGCTCTGTGATGTTTTAGCTCATTAATAATGTATTTCCACTTAGTGCAAAGCTGGAATGAAAGTAAATTTGATGATTTTAAGCCAGCCAGTACATCTGAAATGACAAAGTTTGCTTAATATGCTTAAGCCTTTCAAAAACCAAGTCTGCCCCGTAACTGGATGACAAGAGACCCACACCAGCCCCAACACTTTTCAAGCACCCATTTCAAGGGCTGCAAGATCTGCAGTGACCTTCGTACACTGCCCACCACACAGCCACCCGACTGTCGGAGCAGGCTGACGTAACACCAGGATTACCCTTTTGCTTTTACTTCGTTTATGTAAAAAACACAGGGGACAGGAGCTGGCACTGGCACAATCAAAGCCTCTCAGCTCAAAAACAATTACCGTTTCGCATTACATATGCACGCTTATACAACCTTACCAGCTGCATAACACCTGCAGACTGGCACTGAACTTCAGCCTAGTTATGAGAACACTTATACAACCTCAGGAAGAGCACAGCTCTGCTTGCCAAGGCACATATAAGCCTTGCATAAGGCAGTTGTGCAATACCTTTTGATGTGGAAGCTATGTAATCATAGTTTATTAGATAGCTAAATCTGGCTAACGGCATAAGTAGTTTTTAACAGAACTTGAGACAGGAACTTTTGTGGATGCAACAGCTTTATTGGAATGAACAAGTGCAGAGAAACTTTTACTTGGAAGTAAGCAATAACCACCCAGTTCAGTTACCACCCCGCAGGCGCAGCACCAGGTGCAGGGTGGATTCTTTCTGGATGTTGTAGTCAGACAGGGTGCGCCCATCTTCCAGCTGCTTGCCAGCAAAGATGAGCCTCTGCTGATCAGGGGGAATGCCTTCCTTGTCCTGGATCTTGGCCTTGACATTCTCAATGGTGTCACTAGGCTCGACCTCCAGGGTGATGGTCTTCCCTGTCAGGGTCTTCACAAAGATCTGCATGCCACCTCTCAGGCGCAGCACCAAGTGCAGGGTGGACTCCTTCTGGATGTTGTAGTCGGACAGGGTGCGCCCATCTTCCAGCTGCTTGCCAGCAAAGATGAGCCTCTGCTGGTCGGGGGGAATGCCCTCCTTGTCCTGGATCTTGGCCTTGACGTTCTCAATGGTGTCGCTGGGCTCGACCTCCAGGGTGATGGTCTTCCCTGTCAGGGTCTTCACAAAGATCTGCATGCCACCTCTCAGGCGCAGCACAAGATGAAGAGTAGACTCCTTCTGGATGTTGTAGTCAGACAGGGTGCGCCCATCTTCCAGCTGCTTGCCAGCGAAGATGAGCCTCTGCTGGTCGGGGGGAATGCCCTCCTTGTCCTGGATCTTGGCCTTGACGTTCTCAATGGTGTCGCTGGGCTCGACCTCCAGGGTGATGGTCTTCCCTGTCAGGGTCTTCACAAAGATCTGCATGCCACCTCTCAGGCGCAGCACAAGATGAAGAGTAGACTCCTTCTGGATGTTGTAGTCAGACAGGGTGCGCCCATCTTCCAGCTGCTTGCCAGCAAAGATCAGCCTCTGCTGATCGGGGGGAATGCCTTCCTTGTCCTGGATCTTGGCCTTCACATTCTCAATGGTGTCACTGGGCTCCACTTCAAGGGTGATGGTCTTGCCAGTCAGGGTCTTCACAAAGATCTGCATTTTTTCTCTGGAAGAAGAAAAATCGCTGTGCTTTACTTTTCCCCTCCTTCCTACGGGAAGGCCCAGCAGGGCCGGGCAACAGAGCCCGCTCCCCCGCGGCCCCGCGCTCCCGGGGAGCAGCCCGCCTCCACCCCGCGCCCTGTGACGTCAAGGACGAAGCACCGCCCACACCCCCACGAG